GTTCTGAACAAGCCTGATTTTGCCTAAAATTACCAATGTACATACAGTGTACAAACCTACTACTTTTAGAAGTTACCATACATTAGTCACAATTTCTGAAAAGTCTGTTCTTCCCCTCATTTCTCAATAATCAAACTGTTTATTAAGATATAATCTCAATGTATATGGGGAAAATCTCACAGGACCCCACCCTAGATGAAGAGCAGAGAGAGGGTAAGAACCCTCTCAGGAGACCCAGAATTTACATATTTCTTCACTTATGTATACATGTAACAACAATGGTTTAAAAGGAGGAGGCCTGAATTAGGGAGAAAGGGAGGGCAAGAGGGAAGGGGAAATTATGTAATTATATTTTAATTAATTTTTTAATTAAAAAGGTACAAGCCCAACAAAAACAAGCAGGTTTTTTTAACTGTTTGTTTAGTTTCAACAGAATTAGAGAAAATTAGAAATGCATAGTGGTCGGGATATTTGGTAAAGAATGGGATAGTGTCATCAAACCCTACTCGATGCCAATTCATCTGTGAAGCAATATAAACTAACACCCTGTGAGTCTGTCAACAATAAAAGTACTGTTAAAAATAATAAAATCAACAATAAAGTATGATCTGTTATTTCCAAGGCATGTTACAACCAGCATTGATTTTTATCTTTCTTAAAATCCTGTGAGGTAGATGTTTTTATTTTTTCCTGTTCTAACATAATTAACCATGATTAGAGGCACTGAGTGACATAATTGGTGACTGGTCTGGAGGAAAAAACAAAACAAAACTATACCATGGGAGGGGGAAAAGTGTCTATACACACAGTCTACTGAATATCAAAGGTAGTATTCACAAGGAATTGGGGAATGGACGGCTTACTTGATAAATGGCAGTAAGGCAGGAGACATTTCATGGCATATTTAGATCCTATTTAATTGGAAACACCCACAAATAGGTGGATGGAAACATATATTAGAGAAAACCCACAGTGTTGTGTGGTATTTTGTTTGTGTCCTGACAAAGTCTGCCTGGTGATCAGAGGGAGGAGCTAGCCAATGGCTAACCCCAGAAGCTGGTAAGTGGTGACTCCCGCCTCTAATCTGGGCACCCATGGGGATAGGACGTGATGAGGTGGGTGGAGACAGGATCTAGGCCCCTTTCAGAACAGGGTAAGGAGACAGGTAGGAAGCAACTGGCAGCTGCTCCCGGTTCTCTGATCGTCTAGGTTTTACCCCAATATCGGACCCCGATATTTCATTGACTAAAATTAGAGTAATGCTTCACCATCGCATTATAGAAACTTGCAATTTTCAGGTTGAGAAGATGGGCTAGTCAGGAACCACCTGTACACAAGCATAGGGACCTAGCTCAGGTCTCCTTCAACCATGTAAGAAGCCAGCCATGGTAGTGCACATTTCTAATGCCAGTTTTGGGAAGACTGAGACAGGAGGATGCCTGGAACTCCCTGGCTAACCAACCAAGAGGAATTAATGAACTCCAGTTTCAGCTTCAGTGGGAGTCCCTGTCCCAAAAAATAAGTTGGAGAGCAATTGAGGAAGACAAAAGAGGATGTGGACCTCTGCCTTCCACACAACATGCCCAAGAACATATATTCTCTCTCTCTCTCTCTCTCTCTCTCTCTCTCTCTCTCTCTCTCTCTCTCTCTCTCTCTCTCTCTCTCTCTCTCTGTTTGTCTCTCTCGTTCTCTCTCTGTCTCTGTCTCTCTCTCTCTCTGTGTCTCTCTCTCTCTCAATCTCTCTTTCTCTCCTTTCTCTGTCTCTCTGTCTCTCTCTCTGTTTCTGTCTCTCTCTCTCTCTCTCTCTCTCTCACACACACACACACACACACACACACACACACAAAGTTTAAGATCATTCTTGGCTCTACAATGGGTTTGATTCCATTCTAGGATACATTGGACTCTGGCTCAGCAAGAACAATAGTAATTACAGTAATTGGGAATATTATCAAGACCAAGACAGAAATGTAGGAATTAACTGCATAAAACAAACAAACAAAGAAAAAACCCAAGGGAACAAACAAACAAACAAAAACTTCTGTAAGAAGTTACAATAGACGCCGTGAATATCTCTAATATTTAAAGGAAACCACTGCAAAAAAGTTTAACAAATATGAGAATACTCAAAGGAATCCATGAGAGAAACACAAATGGACAAAATTTTATAAACCATTCTCATCTTTGATAAAGGTCAGAGAAAAACTAAAAGATGAACTGCCAATGCTCCCCATTTGTAAGCTGTTCAAAATTAGAATGCTGGTAACATGTAAGTCAGTGTGACCCTTGGAAAATAGACCATGACAAAGGCTTGCTACCAAAGATTTCACTCTGCCTGCCTGTGGCCTTCATCTTACAACGTTCACAGGGATTGCTACTTCCGAAAAGGGAATTTTCAAAGGGCCTTTGAATATGCTAGTCCTTGGGTGTAGACTGCCTTTTGTTCGTGGTTATCTATAAACCTCTTACTCAGGTTACAATACTCAGGTGTGCGTCCCTCACAGGCAGGCTCTACTTCATTCATCTTTGTATTCCAAAGAGTAATTCACGGGGCTCTTAAGTGATTTAAATTCCATGTAGATGCAAGACACCCTGACATACAGGACAGACAGAATCAGCAGACAACTCTCTCTGTGAAGCGGTAGCTGAAGACGGCCGAGAGCATCAGAGATAATGGACTGGAAGTGGAAAGGGACAGCTGCTGGCTGTACCCAGGGAGCTGAGCAAAGCGAATGCTCGCACAGATTCCACGGCGACCGAAGAGCAGTTAACCGTAAACCAGGGCATTTAAGGCTAAGCCAAAGGAGCTTATGGAAAAGGTTTTAAAAAAAGAATGGCTTCAGAGAAAAACATGAAAAACAAATGGTTCCTCATAAAGCTGCCTGCATTGTCCTCTATCACCTCAGCACACGCTCTATGCTTCACAAGACTGTGAGTGTGGGCTGTGTCCCCCTGCCTCAGTTCTCCCAAGTGCTGGGGTAAGAGGCACGGGACACTACAGCTGACTCACATAAACGAATCTGTTAAGTTTTTAATTGCCATAATTGGAACTGGTATAAAGTACGGTTTCTGTTTACTTTTTCTCCTTAATCTCATTGTGGATTCCATTTGTTCTGCTCTTTTAAACAGAGATTTAAAAAATAGTGCTGCTGATATTTCCAAAAACATTTCAAAATAATTTTTAATAATTCGTAGTATTCTTCTAAACTTTCTTTCCTGAGTTAAGCTTTGATTACACCGACAACGCTTTGTCTCATCTACTATTTAGCCACTCTGTCATGTATGCATTTATCATTTATTCCTCTAACAAGCACCCGAATTCATTGAATGAATGAATGATAAACACAACACATTATTTAGAATGATCTTGCCCACGGTTCCCAAGCTGTACCTTTCTTCTCTAGATTTCCTCATCTTACATAGCAGTTCCCTTGCAGACTTCCATCTACACATCTTAATTTCCTTCCACTCCACCCTAGACCCCTGCCAAGAACTGTTTTCTTCTCTGCTGATACTTGAATTTTACATTTGCTTTTGATTTCACATATACGTGAAACCCGACGGTACTTTTTCACATTTCATGATATTGCTGAGGTTCATCCACGGCGCAAGAGCGGCAGGATTTCCTTTCAGTGACACATGGACAAAAATCAAGCAGCAACCCTGAAATAAACAGACTAGGCATCAAAGGGAGAGAATGGAGGGGAAGAAAGTGCCTTGTGCAAAGGACCAGGCCGTTTTCAACCAAACCGAAAGCATTCCGTGGGGCAAAGGCGGGCGGGCGAGAATCTGGACCAACACTCAGCCTGCTGAGCTCCAGGCCTGTGCGCGTTCCTTCATGCAACTTCCTGCCTTCCACAGGGGAACTCAAAGCCCATGGCAGTGCTGCCATGAAACTTCCTGTCTACAAGCTTCTCCACCAGGCCCTGTCCTGTCTGCTGAAATCCGATGGAGCTCTGAAACCCCTGCCTCATGTCTTTATATAGCCAGTAATTTTTCTGTTCCAAAGAAAAGCAAACAAATACCAATTCCGTTACTCAGGGTCCAGTTGTTGTTGTTTTAGTCTAGGCCCAAGAACAAATCATTAGATCATTTGAGTGCTGACATGATTTGGTTTTGTTTTCTTGCTGTGTAGCCCTGGCTGACCTAGTACTCAAGGTGTAGTCCATGTTGCTCTCATTGTAGCAGTCCTCCTGCCTCAGCTTCCCAGGCAGTAGACTGAAATATCTAAACTGGTGAGTCCAAACAGACCTTTTGTCTTTTTAAGCTAATTATCTCTGCTGTTTTATTATGGTAACAGCAGTTGAGCAAATGGGTAGAGAGGAATCTAAGTGTTATGATTTGGGTGTAAAAGGGCTACAAATGTCCATGTGATTGATAACGGCCAACTGAGAGATGTCTGGATGGCAGTGGTGGTGGAGCATAGCATCACCAGTGAATTAAAATGCTGGAAAATTCAGAGGCGAACAGGCAATCAGAACAGGGGCCTGGCTGGAGGAATCAGGCCCCTGCGCGTATCTCAAAAGGAATATGTGTCCTTGGCCCCTCCCGGCCTCTCTGGACCTCCTGCCTACCATGACGGTGGTCTGCTGTTCCATCACACACTTGCCATCCTGTTGTTTTAATCTTGCCTCAAGACCACAGCAATGGAACAAGCCAACCACGGACTAGGACACTGAGCCAAAATCGAGTAGTCCCCCCTTGAGTGGGTTTGTACAGGTTTTGTAGGATTGACACAAAGTTCCTAAGACGCTAATACACCTGCTATGTCGAAACTTCAGTCACCCTTAACAGTCCAGACAACCCAGTAGAAACAGCAGCAGGTGAAAAGCACAGGTCTGTACACTTCTTTTGCTTACTTCCAAGGCTCCCGCGTCTCACCTGCCCTTTGAACTTCTCGTGTAAAGCATTCGCAGTAGCTGTCTGGCCTCGGTCATGTAACGGCAGCACTATCCCATGAGGGACTCCCCAGACCAGCCCCAGCAAACCTGCTGACTTACCGCCCGAGCAGAGTCTCCGAAGTCTATCTTCAACCTGCCCATGGCCCTGATGATGACGATGGCGGACTGGATGGTGTTACTGTAGACCACCGCCTTGTACTGTTTGCACTCCTCTTCTGAGTAGCCAGCCTCGTGGATGATCCTAAAGACACGAGGGGAAAGTAAGCACCCTCCCTTTACAGCAGCCACTAGGAGCCACGAAAACATACCGACCCCCTCCAGCTACTCACTTCATTTGCTTCACAATTGTACTTTTTCCGGATTCACCAGCACCTAGAAAATAAAATAAGGATTTTCTCATTCCGTATCAGCACTTAAGAGTCTCCAGCTCCCACCACACGCACACACACACACACACACACACACACGAGTGTGTCGCACTATGTGTCACTTATACTGAATCTAGCATTACATTAACATAGTCACACTGTGTGTCAGTTACACTGAATCTAGCATTACATTAACACAGTCACAATGTGTGTCACTTACATTGAATCTAGCATTACATTAACAGTCACACTGTATGTCACTTACACTGAATCTAGCATTACATTAAAACAGTCACACTGTGTGTCACTTACACTGAATCTAGTATTACATTAACACAGTCACACTGTGTGTCACTTACAATGAATCTAGCATTACATTAACACAGTCACACTGTGTGTCACTTACACTGAATCTAGCATTATATTAAAACAGTCACACTGTGTGTCACTTACACTGAATCTAGCATTACATTAAAACAGTCACAATATGTGTCACATCGAATCTAGCATTACATTAACACAGTCACACTGTGTGTCACACTGAATCTAGCATTACATTAAAAGTCACAATATGTGTCACTTACACTGCATCTAGCATTACATTAAAACAGTCACACTAGGTGCCACCTACACTGAATCTAGCATTACATTAAAACAAGACACAAAGCAGCAACTAAGGTGAATGAAGAAGTGCAAAGACCTAACGTACAACATGCATATCACAGTCACTAGGAAGTAGTTCCCACAATCACCCTGCTTCCCTCCCAACCTCCTCCTTCCAGTTCTTTCTTGTGGTGCTGGGGATCAAACCCTGGATCTCACAGAGTCAAGGCAAGTAATGCTCTATCACTGATCAACACCCAGCCCTGTCCTAGGGATTTTGCTAAGTAGTTTTTTAGCCATTTTTACCACAGGATGAAAAATGGGCAATTGTGTGAAATGACAAATGTTAATTCTTTTCGTGATGGTAAAGCCTTCACTATATGTGGATCTCTTAACAGTATGTTGCATATCTTAAAACATAATAAAGCAATAACACTTAAAATGAACTTTGTTTCCAAACATAAGAATTCTCAGATTTAAGTCTATTTTTTTATTACTTCATAATGCTTACTTTCAATGCTGATAAATTCAGCTGAGAAAAATGTTTCCGTGATTGTATATCCCCTAAAGCATTAAAAAAATCCAGTCCTTGGCTGGGCATGGTACCTCCAAGTTATAACCCCAGCATTTCTGAGGTTGAGGCAGAAGACTGACACAAGTTTAAAGTGACCCTTAGCTGCCTAGTGAGTTTCAAGGTAGCTAGCGAGACTCTGTCTCACAAAACCAGAAACCATGAACATAAAAACAAATCACCTCTGACTCAAAATTGAAGCATTATAAATTCTTGCAATTATTGTTTTGTTCCACATTTTAACTGTTGGGAAAATATCTTAATAGTAACTTTCAGCTCCTCTGAAGTAGGAGAGTGGTATGAAGAAGCCAGTTGAGGGACTGGAGTGATGGTTCAGTGGTTAGAGACACTTGGTGCCCTTACAGAGAAAGCAAGTTTTGCTCCCAGTACCCACACTGGACAGACAGCCACCTATGATTCCAGTTCCAGGGGATTCAACATCCTCTTCTCATCTCTACAGGCACAAGGCATGTACGCGGTACATATTCATACATGCAGGCAAAAGACTCATGAACGGTAAATAAAAGTAAATGTAAAAGCAAACAATCCAGAGAGTCATGGAGATGGCTCAGCAGTTAAGAGCACTCTCAGGTTTGATTCTCAGCACACACATGGCATGATGGGTGAAGTCCTTCTGTGTATATGCTGATAAATAAAGCACTGTTGGCCAATAGGGAAGCAAGATAGGTGGGACTAGGATTCGAGGAGGATTCTGGGAAATGTAGTCAACAGAGGAGAGTCGCCATGTGATCACAGGAAAAGAGGGCGCAAGGCCTTATAAAAATATATATTAGTAACTATGGGTTAATAATTAAGTCAGAACTAGCCATTAAGAAACCATAGCAAACGGCCAACAGCTTCATAATCAATATTGTCTCCTGTGTTATTTGGGGGCTAAAGCGGCGACAGGACCCAGGCAGAAATCCCACAACAATGGGAGATCACAGCCATCCTAACCCCAGTGCCAGGAGATTTGATGCCCTTTTCTGACATCCACAGGTGCCAAGCACATGCATGGTACACATACATACAGGCAGAGCATTTACACACACAAAATAAATAAATGTACAGTGAGGAGAAGTGAGATCATGGATGAGGGGGTAGAGGAGGAAGGGGAGAAGGAGATAGAAAGGGGAGAAGGGGAGAGAGGATAAACAGAGGGAGAAGCAGGAGGGGCATCCGCGTCCATGGTAACCACAGCCTCCTGGGGCTGCAGAGATGACTTAGCAGTTAAGAGAATGTGTTGGTCTTGCAAAAGACTCTGGTTCTAGTACCCACATGGTGGCTTTACAACCATCTACAACTACAATTACAGGGGATTTGACCTCTGTGGTTATCAGGCACATACATGATGCATATGTACACATGCAGGCAAAACACTCATACACATAAAGCAAAATTTAAAAATCCAGATAAAATGTTAAGGAGCTACATGAAGAAATTTTAAAGAATAAATGTTTATAGCAAGGGCTCTGCCTTGCATGTCAATCACCGTTACTAAATACTAGCGCATAGGCAATGTGATTTGCTGATGCTGGGCAGTGACAGTCTGTTAGACAGTGCTTTTTTCCATCTTCCTTTTACAGAAGTCCCAAATCTAGGAACCAGTCTCCAAACTTTCCCCTACTTGCTATCTACAAAATGTTTCCTTATGAGCTAAACCCAGGCTTTATGCCATAATACTATATAACTAATGCCAAGGAAATAGGGTTCCCTTTCATTCCCATTCCATTTAGCAGTAGACACTCTTATTATGTCACCTAAGACCAACCAAGCTTTTCTTAGTGTTGAGAACATGTGAGCACAGGACACAGGGATGTCTGACAATTTCACACCTTTGTGACCTTTTTAGCATGGCCGCATGTTCAGGACTTAGTTCCTGTCTGAGAAAGAGCCTGGCTAGTGTATATTGAGAGCCTCATTCTTCTGTTTTCCTAGGGATGTTCCCATAGCGCTTTGTGCACAGCAAGCATTACTGAAGGACACAGACCCAACAATGCCCAGGGCTGATGACATCACAACCCTTCAAACACTGTCTCTCCTACCCCACACCTCCAACAATGTTGTTCTACTTGCTTTTGCCATCTGTGAACTTCTATCAACCACCACACTTATCTCCTCTGCCAGTCCCTCCCGGAGTTCCACACGTGATGCCTTCCTGTGTCTGATTCTACTGGGATTCTCAGCACTTGTCACCACACAGTCAGCCAACCAGAAGGCAGAAAAGCTGGTATACTTATTTAGGATTTTAGAAGACACTGATGCTAAACTTGAGTATTGCCTTTGTCTTTCCCTCCTGCAGCCACAGACAGACAGAGAAGACAGAAATAGAAACACACACACACACACACACACACACACACACACATACACACACACACACATACACACACACACACACAAACACACACACACACACACACACACAGGACATCTGAAAGCGAGTTGTAGTTAAATGGTCTATTTAAAATATCTCAGGAGAAAACTGCCTAAGGTTTACTAAGACTTTGATATGCAAGCAAATTTCACAAGATACCCCTGTGTTAAATAGAAAAGCGGGCACTGAATAAACAATAGGGGTATTCTTTCTTTACAGAGAGCCTTTGAATCTTTCATGGCATCTGCCCATAAAAAAAAAAAACAATTCCAAGATAAACAGCCCATCATTTATTATCATAGAGTGGCTTGGCCCTGTGAAAGGCACAATTGCAGGCAGTTGTGGCTCACATGTTTCTCTAAACCAGGGGGGCGGGTCCCCTGAGCAGCACAGTGTAGGCAGTACCCAGGAGGGAGTCTCTAAAGGCCTCTGCATTTCTAGAACAGTGCCTGTGCCAAGAGCAGTGTGCCATGCTGTGGTAGAACATGAAAGTCTAGGATGAAGACACAGGGCGACCCCACAGGCACAGAAAGTGTTGGTGAATAGCCACCCCCACCCCAGTCTGTGCTGTTAGTGACCAATCGGAAGGGCAGAGGAAGCTTCAGGTGGGAGAAGCCAGTGCCCCGTGAAGCAGAAAATCAGGAGGATTGAATGAGACTGCTCACAGTTCTCTGTGTGCCCAGATTAGAACTTGCCTTTTTTTTTTTTTTTTTTGAGGTTTTTCAAGACAGTCTCTGTGTAGCCTTGGCTGTCCTGGAACTCACTCTGTAGACCAGCAGGCTGGCCTCAACTCAGAGATCTGCCTGCCTCTGCCTCCCGTGTACTGGAATTCTAGACATGTGCCACCATCACTCGGCTAGAATTTTCAAACCTTACAGTGGAGGGAATTTTTTTTTCTATGTTAAAATTATCTTTAAGTTCTAATTCTCTTTTTAATCTCTTAAAATAATTGGTAACATGGGGTGCCTGGCTTATTTTGTAAGGAGCACACAGCCTATGGCTCCTAATGACATCTGTGTAGGGTTGAAGAGTAGAGGTGGCCACCTTATTAACTGAGCATCTCCTCTTCCCACTGGTGACAAAAATCTCTGGACAAAAGATAGCGAAAGGCAGAAACCCTGAAGACAAAAAAACAAAAACAAAAACAAAAACAAAAAAAACCTTTCTAATGTACAAAATTAACTTTCAATTTTCACTTCCATACTTAGAGAAGCCTAGCATGAAACCTTCCTGTTGCAAGTTTCAGCATTCCAAACAGTGATAGTCTGTTTGCTTACATTACGAACAGTGTGAAGGTTTTTATCTGCAAACGTCAGTCAGAACAGTCAGGTTTGAGAGGCCAGCAGGAAGCAATGCTAAAACTCAAACAGCAGAAACCTGCAAAGACACAGAAGGAAAAGCCGACTTCCCCAGAAGTACTCTATTAATTTTCACTGAAGTCCTGACTGGGGTA